AATTCGTCAGTTGTCATTTTTCCTTACAAACTGAAAGGTATGGAAGGGCTATCAAGGAACCCAAACGCAAAGTTATTTCTTTGAACAAGGGATAGTAGTCCTAGTACGATTCAATAAAATATTTCCTGCAAGTTGAACGTTTTCATGTACACCAGGACTGTATCACTGCTAGACCGAATTACACTGATTGTTTGGGGCTGAGTATTGTAATATTTGGTAGCGAATAATGATTTAACATTTTTACTTCTTCACACATTTACTGGTCATCGAATCTATATTAAAGTGGCCTCTGACGGCTTGAAATTATTACGGTCAGTAAATACCCCTTGCTCCTTGCTTGGCTTAGTCTTAGACCCTGAAGATGGAAGCAGTATGTTCCTCCAAAACATTAGACGTTCTTCGAAATACGCGACATTACATCAAATGCAGTGAAGGCATCACGGGCGCACCCATCTTGACACTGCCCATTGCCGTGGCAGATCTCTTCTTATTCATAGCCTTGTTCAATGGCTCCTCCAGCCCATTGAGGGCCCTGGCCTGTTATTCAGTTCCGTAATCATTTTTACACAGACGGTAGGACTTCTTGAACGAGTGATCAGCCCGTCTCAAGACCTCTACCTACACACAGGACAACACAAACAGAATAAACGCACGCACAGACATCCATGTCTTGAGTGGAGTTCGAACCCACGGTCCCAACGTCCGAGCGAACGAAGGCAGTTCATGCCTTAGACTGCGCCGTTACTGTGATCTGGCCGTTGATAAAGTTGAATCGGGATAGGTTAGAGACTGTGAATTAAGTCCGTAATTGAATCTCTGTTGTTTGTATTGGCATACTTAAACCGTCTGTACTCTCAAACTACGTTTTGTATGTGTATGGAACCTGGCCTCTCTCCTGAAGAGAACAAGATAAACGAGTGTTTTTTAATTAAAGTACTAAGGAATCTATTTGGGCCTAGGAGAAAGGAAGTAACAGAAGGGCCGAGAAAACTGTGTAAGGATGAGCTTCATAATTTGTGGTGTTCCCCGGATGTCATTAGGGTAATATAATCAAGCGTAATGAATTGGGTGTGGCATGCAAACGCATGAGAAGGTTGCGAATGTATGCAGACCTGAAGAGAAAAGACCACCTAGGAGACTTAGGTGAAAAATAACATTAAAATCGATCTTGAAGAAATGGGATGTGAGGCTTTGGACTGGATTCATCTGGTCCAAAACAGGTTGCAATTGTTGGCTGTAGTCAATACATTAATGAGCCTCTGCATTCCGCAAAGGAGGCGTTTCTTGACTAGCTGAGCGACTGTTAGCTTCCCAAGAAGGACTCTGGTCCAGAAAGCTAGGACCGCAGCATAATGCGGAATGCATTTCAGGTCCAGCGGCACTCACTTGCAACAAATTTTGGTGATATGTGCTACAAGCCGGAAGGTTGCGGGTTCAAGTCCCGATGAGGTCACTGGATTCTTTTCAGTTGACCTAATCCTTCCAGCGGCACTATGGCCCTGGGGTCGACTCAGCCTCTAACAGAAATGAGTACCAGGAATTAATTAAATAATGTTCACGGGGAGTAAAGCGAGCCCGGCGCGTAAGGCTGACAACCTTACCGCCATCTTTGAGCCGATTGTCTAGGTAATGTGGGACCCTCAACGTCTCACAACCCTATGGGCCTTCATGGCCTGGTACAGGGATAGCTTTGCTTTTACTTTACTTTTTTTATTGATAATTGGTACTAAAATATGAACATAGCATTGAGTTCAGTAGAGTCGTCACTTGTTCAAAGATCTAAATACACGTTTCATTCTTACTGCTTTGATGATTCTCGAAGTCAATATTTTTGGGCCAAACTGGTGAACATTAATGAGATAAATATAGGTAAAAGGTAAAGTTGTCCCTGTAATTAATTAATTAAGAATTCCGCCGTGGACGTATGGGGGAGTGGATGTATAGCTCCATTCAGACTTCGGCACTACATGGAAGTGAATGGTCAGCTTCACGCCCTGTCGCTTTACTCGCTGGCGAAATGGCCCCGGTACCAATTGGACAGGAGGCTCGATAGGTCCCAGAGCCTGCCTGGACGCTGTGGAAAAGAGGAGAAAATCTCTTGCCTCTCCCAGGAATCGAACCCCTGCCGTCCAGACCGTAGCCCATCGCTATAGCGACTGAGTGATCCCAGCTTCCAGAAAAATATAGGCCTAATGCGTTATATGTTTTTGGGTACAACGAGCCATGTGCTTTTAAGAAAGTTGATAAAACGTCGAGCGTAAACAACGTAGAGTGTTTGTAAGCATTAACAGGTGTACATATCAGGATAACATACCGATATCCACGACCACAGCCTGGCCGTGTTCTCCTCAGTGCAGCACTCGTAAGCTTCGCATCATTTGACTATGTTCTCTTCACTCATGGAGCTGAGCCCTTCTGGAGAAGCCACCGACTATGCAGCTACTCAAGAATTTCCCAGCATTTTATGGAACCCGAAGGTTCATTGCCGTGTCCACAACAGCCCTTCACTGGTCCCTATCCTGAGCCAGATCAATCCAATCCATACCATCCCATCCTCTCTCTCTAGAATGCATTTTAATATTGTCTTCCTAGTGGTCGCTTTTCTTCTGGCTTTCTCACCAGTATCATATATAAATTCCTCTTCGCCCCCATTCGTGCTACATGCCCTGCCCATCTCATCCTCCTTGACTTCATCATTCTAATTATACTTGGAGAAGAATACAAGTTATGAAGTTTTCTCTATAATTGGATGTAAGGTTCGCTTACAGAATACAAAGCTACATGTAGGTTTTACTGTGCCTCTCAGCCCAGCCAGAATCTCTCCAGTAACATTAGAATTTGAGAGTAAGAGAATTATCCTCCATTTTGCCGTGTATTTGTTTTGAAATTACGTCTTTCTGGGGGTTTAGTGTTCCCGGCATGATCTCTTGTTACAGAATATACTAGAAGGAGAAGAGCTAATGGATATACTGTTGTAGATCTGCTTTAATGTCTCAATAAAATAAGAAAGCGTGTCTGGTGACGTCACACGTGTACCTGAGAGTCTGTAAAAAAAGATCTATGAATGGGTTACTTTATTATTAACCTGTAGCTGCAGCACAGGAAGTCGTGAACAAGGGTCACGCAATAACTTAGCTTGCTTGTTAGTTTAACGTCTTTCATGAAACATGATTGCCACATAATGGAATGCTTCTGTGTATAAATTTGCGCCTTCAGTCGTTACTAACTGTGGAGTCGGTTCTCATTTTTATGTGAAGATATACATTTTTGTATGCATAGGTTTATAGCATATAAGAATATGATTGTTATGGATAATGTATTAGGAAGTTTATCGAAAGAAACAGTCGTATGTTTGAAATATGAGAACTGAATAATGCCAGTAACCCCAGAAACCCTCAGTGAGAATAGCCGGCCTGCGGACCAACACTCGAATCCCAGAGAAGAAATGAGAACAGTAACATGTCTGTCGTGGCCTTTGATGGAGGATATACGCCTGTCTTTTACTGGAATAGGATTTGGATCGGAGAATCAGAAACTCAGACTCATGGATGTCGTGGTTTTTGTTAGTCCTTCCAGATGAATCCTGCGGTTGTATCCTGAAACAGGACGCGGGAAGGTTTTCCTGCATCTTAACTAAATCATTTTCGTAATAATTCTTGCATCTTTATCATCGCTGAAAATCTCCGCAATTGTTACAGCGTTGTTAAACATCGCATAAAATTTAAATTATAAAATAAATTGAAGTTACGAGCTTTTATGGCTACAGTAATAAACATTTCTTAACAGAAGGGATTTTCCTCGAGAACAAATAAGTACAAACTGCTGATGGAAGAGCATGAAGTATTCAAGTGACCATTATTCCACATTGGAGAATGCGATGTGTAACAGCCCGAAGTATTTTTCGTTTCTCGCATAGCCTACCGAACTTCGCCTTGCGCTGAATTTTGTATGGACGCTTGAGACAGCAAGGCAACGTGAAATATTTACGTTTACTCGCTACAGAGGTGCATACAATGCAAAGCCACAAGTCTATGCGTCAAGCATTGCAGCTCCGTCTGAACTTGGTTGTTTGTGGGAAATGCAAAGTATTTTCACACTCGTTTCTTCATTAACGTTCGAAGTCCTTCTACCTGTTTTTCCTTAAAATGTTTATATCTTTTTGTTTACGACGTAATATAAACGATTTTATCCAAGCAACGTTGACTGTGCGAAAAGGGAACATATTTCAAGTTACGATTTTTGATTTTCTATCAAGACAGCTTCTGAATTGTGTAATGATAAGACCACGACACGTGGAACAATGCTTTAAATTAAGAAAGAAGGCACCAACTCGGCCTGTCAAACGGACAGGTTACGGACAGGCCAGACAGCACGGGTTACGGAAATTTTGAATACCGCTCTGTCAAGGGTTGATATTGGGCCATCCCTTCTCCCTCTCCTGTAGGTACCAGAGGGCTTCTGTCCGCTTGCCAAACGACCGAAGCATTGAAACGTGAAGCTGAGTATCCATTTCCTTCTAGATCAGAGTTTATTGCAAGATTTACCTTGCGCAAATACTGTAAGCACTTGGCACTTAGACGCAGGGATAATTTTCTAAAGGGTTTTGACGACGGTGTATAACACTCGGGACTTTATCCATCGTGATCGCAAACACGTTAATTACCGGACAATTTAAAACGGAACAGCGGTTTGAACGAAACTACTATCACCATCTTCAGAGTAGAAGAACTTCTTTTACATGGTATTGTAATCCAGAACAAACCCATCTAAAATTCACGCCTTGGAAACCTCAAATATTCCATTGTGTGCCCATTTCCTTTGTATTCTTGCACTTTATTGTTTGTATTTATAGTGTATTTATATTTATATTTGATCCAGTTTACGAATCTGTTTATTATATACTTCATGTACCCTTTCTGTGTCTGTATCAAGGGCAAATGAGACTACGTCTTCTGGGTTTCAAACCGAGCGGTAATGACATATGAACTCTTGTTGAACAGGAGTCTGGTCTCCAGCCCTGAAGTCACCTAGCGGCATAACTGAAGACTCCAACGTTAGGAATAAACAAGAGAAGAGAGACGGTGAGGTTAGGAACAATCAAGAGAAGGACGGGGAGGATGCACCCCCTGTGGTGTGGACCCCCAAGAGTGCCGGCGCCAGTCCCACCAGTGAACGGAAGGAGTTTCGGCCGATCAACTTCGAGTCCCCCCCATTGCCCAGGAAGACCCTAAGCGCCACATACTTACCAGCCACTTTCAAGCCTGCTGACGTGAGTTTCCACTGTCTACTGACTGACCAACTCTCACATAAAGAAACATATCGTTTTATTATTTTCAAATTTCTTCTATTTCATAGCATTCCGTCTCCCGTATAGTGGATGACACTAATGATTCATGTTTTGGAGGTCACTTATTCAAATCTTTTCCAGAAATCGGATAATCTTGACTAAGATTTCATACGGGGTTCCCAAATTTTGTTCGGGAAAATGTCGTTAAATTTATTCGAAATGAACCACGACCTCTTCTTCCCTACAGTATTGATTATCGTATACTTTCTTAGACGACGCTGTATGACCAAACCAGAGTGTCATTAAACAAAACTTAACCCCCCTTTCGTTTTTTTTTATCCTATCTCTATGAACTCCTTGTGGTACTGTGCTATGTGTCTTCCTCTTGCATGCCTTCAAGTCAGTGTCCCGTAAATCAACTCTATGCCCTCATGTCAGTGCTCTTTTTCCTATGGTCTCAAAATGATTCGCGGGACCCATGGAACCCAAAGCGAAACGAAAGCCGCTTGCACAGAAAATCACACAGCTCAGCACTGTGTTTATAGAATACACAAAATACAGGGTGATTCATATAGAACCGGCCCGACGAAATGAGCTGTGATATAAAATATACCATACAGATATTAAAGTAATTTACACATATCATATCTTGGATTGTGTGCCGTGATCAGAGCAGGTGTTGAAAGTGTCCTCCGTTTTGAAGTAGGCATTAGAAAAACTCGCTGAATAACAGTATACTCCATGACTGTCGCCTGCGCACTGCAGATACGTTTCGGGATTGTCCTTGACCTTGCAGCATAAGGGCTGCCACTTGCCGGATCATGCGCAAACCATTCGACTCAGCACGGCCCACGGATTATTATGTCGTAATTGTGAGCGGTTATATGCATCACCTGCGGAATTATTAGCAAATTCATCGGGCCGGCTCTATACCACACCCTGTAGAAGAAGACACACATGTTAATTATTCTGCCTTGGATTATTAAGAGGGACGTCTTTTCTGATTCTGTTATCCCAGGGTCTCGGAGTACAGGGAATACTGACGTCTCTAGCAGTGTATTATGAAAATGCAAAATGTTCCGATGAAGGGGATAAACTTCGCACTTACACATCTACACTCCAGATACTCGTGAATGCAGCTGTCCCAGAGGAGAATGGATGAAAGTCAAGAGATTTTTTTCAGCTTATGAGCACAGTCATGTCATGTCCTATCAGACTTACATTGATTTTTTGCTTTAGCCTCACCGTAGTGAAGGACGTTCCGCCCAGAACATTTCGTTTTATGAGCCAGTTTTTGTTGTATATAAAAACAAAGACGTAGGAACTCTCTCATTCTACACTGTTTAACTAATGCAACTCAACTCTGATTCGTGGGGAGCCTCGTTTCATAAATCATACTGGCTCAGCCTAATTCCTTCGCCATCAGCGAGTCCTCTGTGTTTTGTGGCGAGCTTATGTCCATCCGTTCTACATTTTTGGTTCTTTATTTGCTAATTAATCTTGCCAGACGAAATAATCTTTCTCATTTCTTCCAGGTGATCTGAACCAATAAAATCACATCTCTAAATAATTCACACCTTAACGAATTACTTAATGGGCGTTTCTGCGCGATGCTTGGCATCTGCGAAAGTATTCCAAAAAAGCTGCCTTGATTTCATATTATTCCTAAGGCTGTAGATAGGACATGCGACTTAAAGTCACAAGTGAAGTTAACACCGTGCCTTGATAGTATGAAGGTGTGCATACATGCAAGGCGCATCATCCAGTTGTTCAAGGCATTGTGTGTGTTGGGCCAATCGGCGAGCAGAAAAGCGAGGGCTATGCGAAAATTCACGCAGCAGGAAACTACTGCCACCTACACTAATTGAGGACAAAATTACGGCAAAAGATAACCACTAAACATCACCCCTAACATCGTTGTCACTAAGCCATGTGCACTCTCTGGCCTGTAATCAGCGTCATATTTAGGTCTATTCATGGGACCAAAGTGGGCCCTAACTTCCATGTGAACAGACAAGTTCTGAAGTTGCTTCTGAAGTAGGCAAGTTTTTAGGGCATACTTATATATGGTTTTGGAGAAAATTCCATAACATTTGTTATTATACAGCAGAGTTATTTCCATTAGGACCTAATAAGAGTCATGCTGGAGTGGCTAACATTCCTGTATCATATTCGGGATGCCCCAAATTTAAAATCTCGACCTGAAGATCAGCTGTTCTGTATATTTGCGCCTGCAGAAAAGAGGGGGTGGAAGAAGCCAGGCATTTCCTTCCTCCCTGAATGTTTGGGTCATAGTCAAAATTAACAAAGAAGAAAATATACCAAACATTAATTAAAAAAAGTTAAAGAAATATTCTCAATATAAGTTTGTAAGCAAATTTTTGGGCTGGCCACCATGGAAAAAGAAAATATTGGCAGCGTTATATTGTAACTCAGTCTGGGCTTCTGACTAAGCATAATATATCTGTGGTAATTTCTGAAATTATCTATATGCAACTACATGTAAGTAACTGATTGTATGTGTCATCATCTTCTTACCTTATCCAACAACGCTTTCACAATCTCATGTATTATAAAATACATAATACGCATACAATTGTGAATAATATATTATGAAGGATGCGGAAGGAAGCAGTCATGGCCTATATCAAGGTACCGTTCTTGGATTTTGTCAGATGAGATTAGGGAAAACCACAGAACCCTTCATCATGATAGCTGGCCTCCAGACTGAGATACAAAGTCTGAACCTTCTGAATACAAAGCAGGATTCATAACCACTCAGCTGGATCATTCAACTAACATCTGCCCTGTACAATTTCTTGTTTCAGGACTTGCAGCCTGTAGTAAATACATCATCGGTCACACAGGAGCCGACAACGACTACGACTTTCTCATCGACCTTCCCACCTTGGCAGCAGCAGCAGTCCCGAGATGACAGCACTCTGAGTGTTGGGTCAAACCTTCAGTCACCAACCAGTGATAAGTCAGTGGCCTCTTCCACTATCACTTCCACATTGGACAGACGTCTCGTGCAGAGCCAAAGTGCGCCTGCATCAGGACTATCTGCCCTTGCTGCAGGGGTCTCCAGTAATATAAGGCTTCCTCGGGCACAGAATCCCACAATCACACTCCTACAGAAAGCTAGAGGTATGTAACAAGAACAAAGAAGCAACCTTAATAGAAACACTTGCATGAGGTTCAGTTTCTGTATTATTTTACAGCAGTGCAGTAATTTCAGAAGCCATTTAGAGGCAGGTACATTTATTTAATGTCTGAACTGCACAGGTCAAATGGTGGAAAGAGAGATGGGGAAGAACATGGATGAAGTTTGTTTGAAGGAAGTTTCCCAGTATTTGTCTGGACTGATTGATTCTCTGTTTGTTTAGTGATGCATCTCTGACTGCATAGATTAGAACATCAAATGATAGGATGATTGTGGGTAATTTAATGGGAAACATTTGAAAGGAAACAATCATGACCTACTCTAAGGTGTAGGATTTGTCTTGCGTGACTGAGCAAAATCAAAATATCCGGACCTCAACCAGACACCTCCCTGACGTGAAGCAAGAGTTATAATATACTACATAGTGTTATACGGTCACTTTTCAGTGGGTTCTGAGGAAGATTATGAAAACCCATTTTCATGGCAACTGATGTCCTTACTGAAACTATTATCATATACCTCCTGAATAAAATTTACCAGTTGAGGTAAACTGTAAAATACTTTTGAAGATGGGAGCAAACTTATGCGTTGTGGTTCAGCTCGACATGATGAAAGGAGCATCCAGCTATTTCTGCTTCAGTAAGCAGTCCTCCCCCCCAGAGAAACTCACTGTATTGAGAGAGTTCTAATCTTTATGTCAGAGATAATGATCACATTTGGTCCTAAATGATAGAACGGAATGGAAGTGTGGATGTAATTATGTAACAAGATATTTGTAAGTTGTATCCTACATCTAGTATTTTTAAGGTAATTAAAATGAGGATGACATGGTTATGGTGCGTAACATGCAGAGTGATGAAGAAGCTATGCTTCAGAATTGTAATCGGAAAACTTCATGAAGGCAGGATCAGTGTGAGACTTAGATTCAAATGGGAGGTTAATGTTCAAATGGATCTTAAAGAAATAGATTCTGAAGGTGTGGACTGGATAAGGGTAGAATTATATGGCAGGCTTCTTCTATTTTGGTGATCCAGCATCGAATGCAATAACAGTGAATCTTTTGATAAGACAAGTAACTCTCTACAGTGGAAGGAAGATGTCACAGAGTCAAATCAATCAACCCATTCAGTCAGGATTGTCTGTCAGTCACTCAGTCACTCTTGCTCCTTCATCTTTCAGTCAGGTATGTCAGTATGCTAAATGATATTTTGTCCACCATTCATAATCATCTGCCATCTCAGATATATATATATAGAAGGGGCACGCGGTAGCATAGTTGGTTGAGGCACTATGCTACAAGCTGGAAGGTCACGGGATCAAGTCCCGATGAGGTCAATGGATTTTTTCAATTGATCTAATCCTTCCAGCCACACTATGGCCATGGGGTCGACTCAGCCTCTAACAGAAATGGGTACCAGGAATATTCTTGGGAGTAAAGGGTGGCCGGCATGTAGGGCTGACAACCTTGCTGCCAACCATGAGCCGATTGGCTAGACAATGTGTGAACCTCAACATCTCACAACCCTATGGGTCTCCATGGCCTGTTACAGGGGTACCTTTACTTGCTTTTTATATGTATAGAGAGAGAGAGAGAGACACACACACACACTCTTGGAAAAAAAATTTGGTATCTGTTGGAATTTACTGTATTGTATTAAAGATCTGTTATTTTCAGAGGGTCAACTGCCACGAGGGGCGTTATATTTGGATCACAAGATGAACCCCAAAGAAGAGGAGAAGTCGTATATATCACCCAATGAGATTTGTAAGTATGTATTTATGGATGAAGACATGTAATATTGAATGATGAGATCCTGTATTTTTTTTTTCAAACTGGCACCTTAGAAATAATATGCTGAAACTGTAACATGTTTTGGCCAGTAGCAGATAGTGGAGGTAGGCTTCAGATATACTGAAAACTTTGTGTGGTTAATGTAAGATACATAGTATAGTAAGGGTCTATAAATATAAGATTTAAACTTTCAGTTTTCAAAATGAACTGCTTTCTATAATGGAACTTGAATACATGGACAATTCCGCAAAATAACAGCTGTGGCTGGATGTTATAGTTAGCTAGGGAAATAGAGCTTTGATGTCGCTGAAAAATGTAGTGTTTTTCGCATGAGCAGTACACTGATAGAAGTGATTTTTTTTATTATCAGCACGCAGTTTTCTAACCATTTGATTAGATAATCTACAGAAATTTTGGTGGTCACCCAAGAATTTGTTTTAGCTTCATATTTTGCAGGTAGTCCCTTGACGTCCTTGACATGGACATTTATATTTTCCACTTACAAGAGGTGCTAGTTTATCACTACCACCGGCATTAGTGGTACACATGGGGGGCGATTTCGTTGAAGGAATGTAAGTGTGTTTACCTCGGGTAATAAAGTCATTTTAGAACTATAGAGGTGTTGCCACTACTTTTTATCCAACCTATTATTTTTTTATTTTTTTATTGCTAGTGGGGTGGGACTAAATCCCTTGTACTGCAGCCACTTCTGGCCTATTGTACCAGCCCCAGATGGTAGGTGAGGGTGATTGTGGAGCAATTGGTGGAATGAAGATTGGAAGGGGAAACCTTAGTACTTGGAGAAAACCTGCCCCAGCGCCACTTTGTCCACCATAAATCCTACTTGACCAGACCTGGGATCAAACCCGGGCCACCATGGTGGGAAGCCAGCAACTAACCACTTGAGCTATGGCGCAGCCTTTATCCAACCTATGTATACTACATCACAGTGGTCATAATCTTCTGTTTCTTGCAGTAGTTGATAATTTTTCCAGTCTTCTACAGTTTCTGGGTCAACACTTCTGATAGTTTTTTGTAAACAATGTCATGTCTCCTAAATCTGTCGATCCAGCCAATGGAAGCATAAAATTTGTCTATCCCCAGATGAGTAGAGATGTGCAAGGCCTTCTCCTTGAAGTGTGGAAGCATTAGTTTCATGTGCTTATTTGAACCATGCAGCAAGTGCAGATTCAGTTTCTGAATGCTGTTTGGACTGCAGTGGAGGAAAAATCCGCTCATGTGCCCTAACCCATGGTGAGCGTACAGATTTCTTTCAGCCGAGCATCAGCCACCTTATGCTTATTTTCAGACTGAACTATTTGTGACTGCTAACAGGGAAGGAGGTCTGTTGTCTCGCATGAGAAATTGTGAGAACTGAGTTAGAAAATGTAAAATCAGGCAAATTTTCGTAGTGAAGGCTGGAAAAATGAAGTGCAGCCTCAGGAAAAAGGTGGAATTGAGAAAACGTAAAATCTGGTAACATTATTGTTGTTGGAATTTGTCCGGAACCATCTAAAAAATGCGTAAATTCACCAAAAACATACAATCCAGGATTGCATAGTCATCATTTCATTGTTCTTCTATACCCTTAATATCATTTTTTTTCGAACAGTCTTGCATCCTACAGAAAAGTGGTACTTAGACATTTTGTATTCCCTACAGTTTTACTAAAGGGGCACTGACAATGCAAAGATTGTTCAGGCTGGTATGAATTAACTTATGGCCCATCAAATTTTATTATCAGTAGGTTTTGCACTATTATTCTTTGCTGATGGAAGAGTGCTGCTAATGTCAATTTAAGAAGCTGAGGTAAAGTGAAGAAAAGTTAAGATCACTGTATTATCAAATGTGATGTACCATGTGGTTTGGTAGATAGATATCAACATTTCAGAGGAAATTGCTACCTCTGCCTTCAAACTAGAAGGTTCTTCACATCCCAGAAGAAAATATTTTAACATTCACTACCATGAGAACCTCAAATCTAATATGATACAAAGGTCACCTAATATAAGTGACTACTCTGAATTTTCATTTGCAAGTTTCCACTTTTCAGCACTTGTCTATTGAGATACTGGTGTATAAATGGATCCTTGGTCTGCTATATCTGTGTCTTGCTTTTATAGTGTATTCAGTGAAGAAGGAATATGAAAGTGAAGGAGAAAAAGAGCAACGGAAGAAGATTGTGCAGCTGGGACCCAGAAAGTTTGAAGGCATTGGGCCAATGACAAAAGATGGAATTCCTATTGTGTTACGATCGGTGAGTTCATATTTCAGAACTGAGGTCAGTTGTGTAGCCAAGATTTTAGCAGACTAGAAGATAGTTCAGAAGATTCTTCTTCCCATTCAGTTCTCAGCTGTTACACATAGCTAATTCATCTTTATTTTGGAATTTATAAGTTTTCATTTTTAGTATTAGATTGTTTGGTGACACTCCCTTGACAGGTGGCTAGATTATATAGCACTGAATGACAGAATGATGGATGTGATAAGATGTCAGGACCTGTTTGAAGGTGATATCCCAATATTTGTTTGGTGGAACTAATACCAAGAAAATTTATCATGGCTGGCCTCCTGGCCAAATTTTGCCAATTTCACTGGCGGATACTGATTGGACAACAGCTAGTGTTATAAATTCGCCTGTTGAAATCATATGCCCAGGAAGAATAAAGTCTGGAATATGTTGCTGAGGGGTGATACCATTGGCACTATATTGTTGGGTTTTGAAGACTTCTGTAATTTTAATTGTCATTTTCAATAAAAAATTCTACTCATTTCAAAATATCTCTTGTAATGACATCATCAGTACCTGGAATATGAAAAATGTCATGCTTGAGAGTGGGGTGATGAACACAACGTTTCTAAATTTTGTAATGGACTGAACAGGTTACATGCTTCCCATCCTTTCACCTAAGGATGGACACAGATCCAGTTTCTGAAATACCGTGTTCTTTAGAGTGCCAGATGATGGATGAAGTCCAAAAAAAGAGAACTCAGTAATGCAGAATGTTATACAACCTCATCAGAACCTTTAGACTTAAGCTGGTGTGACATGATGCCCAAGTATTCTGCATGGCCAACTTACATCCATGTCAAAGGATTGAGCACAACAATGTGATTTCTTAACATAATTTTATTGGAAGAAAATTGATTTATAAAGAATAATGAATAACTTGAAACGTAATTGACTTCCGAATGTACTTTCTTAATTCGTATTGAAAACATCTCCTAAAATTAAAATTTAAGCAGCTGACCTACTGTGACTCTTGGGTGTTTGACATTAAGTGATTCTTCTTCAAGATACAGTTATTTTTGTATCAACATGCATGTTATATTTGCTTATTGCTTCTGTGTCTTTCTTTCATGCAAACTAGAATGGAGCTCAGATAGTAAGTAACTTATATAGATATGTTGATAAGGTAAAGTGATTTTTCTAAACACTATGTCATGAGTCCATATAAATAAATACCCACACGTTCTTAACCTCAATACTGGTTGCACTTGAGTAACCAGTTTTACACTTAGCCACCATTACACCTGGAGAAGGATCTTTTAGACTAATTGAAACCCAGGGCATTTCTAAATATTCTGGTAAAATAACTGGTCCAACATCAACGAACTGTGAAAGCCTGGCCTCTTAGTCCATGCCCTGTTACATTACTCGTGAACTCTCATGACTGTATGGAATGTGGCAATATTTAATTATCACCTGTTTTAGAAATATATTTGATATTCCCCACTTAACATAAATTTAAGCATAATTTTGAAAATAGTTCAAATTTCAAGACAGTGTCAAATTAAGATAAACAATGCTTTCAGTTATGCAAAATTGGCAAATTTGAAAATGCAGAAACTTCATATATTTCTATCAACTTCAAGTTTTAACATCCTCTTAAAAAGAAAATGATTAAATTGTTAATTTTGTTTGTTTTTCCCTTTGTATGTAATTGAATAATGGTATTTCCTGTGTATCAGGTGCTGTCGGAAAGTTCCTGGACTAGGTAAAAAAACAAATGCTGTCTTAACTTACTCAATTTTGGCTGCCATCTCCTTCAGAATAGTCTTGTTGCGAATGTACACAGCAATTCCATAGTTTTTTTTTCCACGCTTCAAAAGGACCATGGAAATCATTTTCCTTAATGATGTTGAGTACTGCCTGTGATTCCCTTTGGATGTCAGACACTGTTTAAAAACGTCATCTCTTCAGTTTCATTTTCATTCTGGGAAACAAAGCGAAATTACAGGGGACTAAGTCCCTGAGTAAGGAGGATGGAGAATGATAACCATGTTGTTATTAGTCACAAAGTCTGGTTTTCAGGGATGTGTGGGTGGGTGCATTGTCATGGTGAAGGAGCAGTGTGGGTTGTATTCAAATTTTTTCTTAAGATCTCATTGCAAACTCCGTAACTGATTCCAACTTTGTCTGTGAGCTCATGGATTGTTTGGCGATGATCTTCATTGATGAGTTCTCAAATTTTTTCAACATTTTCTGTCGTTTTGCTGTTGCTTGGTTGCCCTGAACATTTGTCATCTTCAACTGGCATTCAGCTGGTTTTGACATGTGAATGCCATTAAAATATCGTTGTCCGGCTTCAAGAATGATCTCGAAAAGACTCATGAAGCATTTCATTGGTTTCGGTATCGGATTTACTGAGCTTCACGCAAAACTTGATGCAGACACATTTCTCAATTTTGACAACCATCGCAAACAAAACGAAACAAGAAGTTGAAAAAGCACTTGTGTATTCATAGCGTGGTGTCACGTGATAGACTAATGAAATAGGCTTCAAGAAGTGTGACCTTGGCCTCCCCTTCATCTTCTTTCACCGAGGCAGTTACAACAGTAACAGTCAAGGAACTTTCCGATGCCATCTCATATTTTTGCTTCTGTGGCCTTAGTTGCTGTCTGGTGTTCAATCAGTTGTTACTGGAGCATAAAGTGTTTATAAGTAACTAAGTAACCAACCAACCAACCTACAAACCAATTTTGTGATGCAGAGTTGCTCTTTAGAGGCTTGTGAAGAAATTCCTTGCATTCTATGGAACACAAATTGCCATTACCATTGTCAGAAGATCCCAGCACTAGTCCCTATTCTGAGCCACTTGAATTTAGTCCACACTGTTCCATTGTATATTTCATAAGAGTCATTTTAATTTTGTCAGACATATACACTTAGGTCTTCCAAGTGGCATATTTCCTTCAGAATTTCTGGCCAACACTTCCTAGAAATTCTCTCCTCTCCTCTCCTATGTCATGCACTCTATATGCCTTACATATTTCATCCTTGGTTTGATCATGAGAATGGTATCTGGTAAGGAATACAAACTATGAAGCTCCTCAGTATGCAGTTTTCTCCAGCATTCTGTTACTTCCTCCTTTTAGGACCAACTTGGCACTCTGTTTCCAGATATTCTCAGTCTGTTTATTGCCATTAGAGTGTGAGACCAAATTTGGCACCCATACAGAACAAGAAGCAAAATTATGGTTTTGTGTATTTTAAACTTTGTGTTCTTAGATAGCAGATGGGAAGACAGACAGTTATGAATTGAATGGTGGTTAACATTTCCCACTCTTAATTTGCTCTAAATGCTCAGTGAACGAAATTTTTAGTCATTAGTTTCATTCTCTAATATGTGAACTTTGCCAGAGTTCTGAAGAATTTATAAGATTTTGTATTATACTTTTGCCTACATACTGGTGATGTGTAATGAATGCATAATTCGTTTTACTTACATTTACTTTTAAAAATGTAGTCCAGTCTCCATACTAGCATCTTTTAGGATATGTATGTGTTTTTCTTTGTGGTATATATGTTATCTGCCATTAAATTAACATCATCAGCACAGACCAGAAACTGTTGTGCCCCATTCATTTTCGGTCATAGCTGGATTTCTTGGACCTTCATAATGGCATATTCTAAAGTGAAGTTGTAATGCAATAGTGATAATGTCTCTTCTTGTTTCAAGTCAATCTGAATAGGAAACATATCACACAAATGTTGTCTGTGCAAATTTTACTGCAAATTTAATTACAGCACATTTTAATTAGCCTAACTATTTAATGGTTATGCAAAACTCAGTGAGAACATTGTACAATACTTCACTCTGAATGAAATCATAGGCTTTCTTGAAATCTATAAAGAGCTAATGGACTGTGTCATTGGACTCCCATTTTTCTTCCAGTATGCAGCAAATGCGGAATTATATTCAGTAGATGATCTATTACTTCAGAATCCACACTGATGATACCCAATAACATAGGATTGCACAAATTGAGAAGAAGGAAAAATACTGATGTTTATATTCATTAGTTTTATAAAAGATATGTCCTGACCTTATTCCATTGTTCGTTATTTTGCAGGAAGTGAAAGATGTTAATCAAGCAAAATGGTACAAACGAATGTATGACTCACTACATCGAACTGCAAAGGATGGTAAGATGAATTTTAGTTGACAGGTTATGAATATTTCACTGATTTTGGGGACATGCATTTAGAAATGCAACATATACATATTTATCATTGAGATTAATTCTGAAAATTTTTAAAATTATTTTAACAATATGAGACCTGGACATTCTGGGAAGAGTGCTCGAGTATAACCTAACCAATTACTCATCTTACACACTTCAGCCCTGAAGATGGAGGCAGCATTTTCTTCAGAAATGCTGGTATTTGCCTACAACACTCTGAGGCATTACAACCCAGAAAACCTGTTTGAATTGTTATGTATTTTATCCAATTATGAATTTAGTTATATATTGATGATATAATGAGTATTTATTATTTTAAACATTTTCAGAAGAACTTTTTCAGTATAATATTTTAACATTTCCGTATGTTTGTGTCCTTTTGTTGAGAAATCATAATTGTTATAAGTATTTAGACAATTAGAATATATGAACCCATTCTTCTTTTGCAGACGAATATGTCACAATCCGATACAAACCACGGAAAGGTGATGACAATTCACAATATACATAAATAACAATAATATTGCTGGTCAATTAACTTACATAGTGCTTTCAGTTTCTAACAGTCTGTGATGCTTTGCACATAGCAGTCATATTTACAGTGATTTATATAACAATTTATCTTCCTTTTCACTGCAGAATGATCTTGTAATTCTAACATGCGATTAATAATGTTTCAGTTTCATGAAAATTGTAACATTAATTACTTCAATACCAGTCTCCAGAGATCCTGTTTACACAGAAAGTTGTTTCAAAGTGTTTTCTTCATTTGGAACTATTAGGATGAGTGCATATGGGTATATGGAGTATTGTTTATCATGTTACTTCACTCATTGTCCTTTAGTTTTGTTTTTCCATAAACAAATATATTGTTAGCTTAGTAAATATGAGTAAGTAGTATAAGTACTACACTGCATAGAATTATAAATTGTACAAGAAGACAGAGCAACGTATCAGAAGAGATATTGCACTGCATAAGGGCATAAATAAAAAGTTCCCTTAATCTGTTAATTCAACACCATATTGATAAATGCTTCAAATGACAGAAGCTCAAGATACTAATGAGATTTCTTTTTTATGATGAGCTGTTTATTTTTTTTTTATCGGTTGAATTTGAACTTCACATAAAGTATGGATTGTAATGAACAAATAAGAACAAAAGTAAAATTTTTATATGTTTCGGTTCAGATTCTCAATCCCACATTTAATTTAAGTTCACCAAGATATATCTGATATAAAGTGTGAATGGATATGCTTGCAGACATGATTGCCTCATTATGTGCTCATTCTATGAATTCCATGCAAAGAAAATATAATAAGATACTTGTTGCAACTGCTATGTAGTCTTCCTGCTGATAATATTTCACTTCTACGACAAGGGGAAAATTAAATTTTTGCTGTACAGTTTTAGATATGTTGAACACTGGTCATTGTAATTGATGTTGGTATTTACGTAACTTTTTTCCATTGATCAGGTCAGTATTGTTATTAAAGGGGTTAAAATCTCTTACCTGTTTCATAACAGGTTTAAGATGCATGAAAGTCTAAAATTAATACATTGAATAAGAGATCCCTGCTATAATTTTCACATTTTATGGATTTATATTGTATGTCACATAGCAAAATACTGTGTATAGAAGACAGCAAATTTTGGTGGGTGATAGGTCAGTTTTATGTTTAGCAGTGCTGCCTTTCATTTAATGCAATTCATCATATCCAGGACTTGAAGCATAAAAAGGTAATTGTCTTCCAGGAAGATTTTTAAGTCAACAGCTAGTACAGTCTTTTGCAGCTTTCAGAGTTGTGATGAAGGAGGTCCTGTGAGCCTATAATGAATGAAACAAAACACCAGTAAAAAGTTAGCTACCAGTTCGGTATTTTATACTGAGTTCCACACAGTTATGTTGAAAAATTTGTTAACAGTTATACGAGTACAATTAACCTTGGTGTAGAAGTAATAAACTGTGTTAAGCTAACCAATCTCAATTTAACAAATCCAAACTAGCAAGAAGACAGTCCTTGGATTAGATCAGAAACTGCCTTGCAATGTGTCATAGTGTGAGGACATGTACTGCCATCTCTGTTTAACTGTATGAGTGGATGAAAAAACTAATAGGTGGATTTTGCATTATTTTTTAAACATATTTATTAATGAATGTAGAAGGATGATTACACACATCATTTGTAGGTCCTGGTATCCTGTAGCAAAGAGGTATATGGTTCTTGGTAAAACTCTGTATATGATAGTAAAGAAACATTCGTAGTGCTGCTGTTGAGGATTTAATATTGCTGTGTATGACAGAACCAGTTATTTAGATAGAAATTGTTCAATTTAATAACTGTGTAAAATGTGCACATAGGTCTGACCACCATTGGTCCAGTGCTGTTAATGTGTTATCTTAAAATTTATGTCCCATGAATGGATAAGGTGAAAATAGTGATGAGAGGTAATAAGTGATGATGACAAAAAGAATGATGAAAATGATGGCATAGTTAGGTGATATATATAATCAGCTAACACAGTGAAACCCAGTTTAAGGTTTCTTTTGGGAGAAGTGGATTTGAACATTAAACCGCAGAAAATTTTTAATTGAGGATATAACCCTTAGATTATTTCGTCCTTGCTCTCCTCCTGCTAGTCAAGTGATATTTACTTGTTTATATGACATCACTTTTATTATAGATGTCAGGAAGATTAATTTTTCTTAGGCCAGGATTATGTAGACCTATAAAGGTAAAATAAAAATAAAATTACATATCATAAATTACTTCTTCATTAGTAATTGTATTAATGCTGTGTAATGTGAGTCCAAAAACCCAACATATCAAATCGTAAGTAAACTATTAATTATTTTCCATCTATATTGTTCGGTTCAGGAGTATTGTGAACAAATTTAGAATAAAATTGAGCATCATTGTCATTCTCTGGATATTGTTACATTAATTTCATAGAAATCAAAATGTTAATTTGTCTATAAATGCTGACTCAAGAAAGAGTGCCTAACAACAGCTGTGATTGTGTTGGATATGAGCACGTCTCCTTGTCTTGTCTTTTGGTTATTACATTCAGTTTGACAGTTTCACAGCAAAGTTGCTATGCTTCCATATATACATAATAATTAATTGATTCCTTCACTGTTATGGATGAAACACTTTCGCCACTTACAGAGTGTTCTGTAACACTGGGTCTTTGTTTCAAGAAATGACAGAAAATAAAAGCAAGGCAAGAACTTTATGTCTTAGATACAAAGTGATTTTCAGAAATAGTATAAATAAGTGTAATACAGTATATCAGTATGTTCAGTGCCAGTACTTATGTATTTGTACCCAAATTCTGACTCACTGGACAACATAAGCTGCTGATGTAGTTTTGATATCAACAGGGAAAGGTTTAAACTGTCAAACACATTAAAAAAATAAAAAAGTATAAAAATGAATTAAAAAAATTAATATAACAAGACAGCCGCTGCAGTTGTGAAAACTTTGGATTTTGTATCCATTTGTGTATTGTCAGCACCCATTGTAATAGTGGTTTCCAAACTGTATCGATGTCCCTCTGATGATGTTCTCTAAGGACCGAAACATGTAAGGGCATGAACAATTGAAATAAGAAAACATCACCAGTCACACTGGATGGAATTGTTTTATCTTTTATAACATTTAACACAGCTAGCATATGGCAGAACTTCGTACGACTGGGGAATATGTTTTTGTAGCTGCATGCATTTTACATCTTGGAGAGAACTGGGATACAAGTGAAATTTTTGAGTGAGTAAACAAGTATTATTAAATATTTTAAAATTATAAACTGAGTAAATATTAGTATTTGCAAACATATTACGTAACTTTGTTAAAATTGTACCATCATCCTGAAACAAAGATAAATATGAAAAGAAATATATGATCATTTATTGCCTTATGTCTTATGTCCTATGTTGATGCACAAGTAATAAGAGGTTATGTTTCATTTTTGCAGGTCACTACCCATACACATCTCCTGGTGGCTATCTATCAGAGCCTGAACCAACCCTGTATGACTCTGACATTGGCTACTCGGCTAAATATGCTACACTTGATCGACGGCGGATCAAGAACAAGGAGAATGATTTTACCACCAGCACATTGCCAAGGTCTCGGTGAGTTGACATTAAAATTATGTAAGGAAGAACTCCATAAGGAGTAGTGCTAAGCTTCATCATCATCATCATCTTCATATTTTGATTTGTGTGTTACATGAGGGGCTCTTGGTGTAACTCATACATCCCGCTTCCAGTCCAACAAATCTTGTGATGTTAATGTTATATTTAGATAATGCAAGATTATAATCCAACACTAAATTGTAGTTTATCTCATGGGTTGTTTGACTTCAGGGTTGTTCATTAGATAATCATATGTTTGAACTGTAAATGAGCAAAAAATTTTTGTTGCTTATAATTTTAAATACTAACTGTTGTCATTTGGGGCACGTGGTAGTGTAGCTGGTTGAGGCAATATCCTACAAGCCGGAAGGTCATGGGTTCAAGTTCTGATGAGGTGGATTTTTTTTTTTTTCAATTTACCTAATCCTT